AAGTTGGGGTCTGATTCATGCATTCGCAACATTTCACGGCAAAATCTAACCCTCGCCAGGTAATCTCTTTCTCGTAGAGCCTGAACACGTTGAATGTGGTAGGGATGAAATCGATAGTCTTTTAAAGGTTTGTGAACTGTAGTTTTTTGTATTCCCGTCCGTCCCGTCCCGTGCATCTACCGTTGCAGGACGTCCTGTTTCGCCGCCACGCCTTCCAGGTATGCGACCTTAAAAAGTGAAAAATGATAGTTAACAAGAAAGCAAACAAGAAAGGTGTAAAAGTCTTACCTTCATATATTTCTCTATGAGTCCGGGCGAATACTTCACGACCCGGATGCCGACGATTTGGGTATCGCTCTGCATCGAGTCTTTGAGCAGCTCTGGCATTACAGCAAGCTTCACCGTAAATTAGGTGAATATCCGCATATTCATGCGAGGTATACTGCGTGTTCTCTGTCATAGTATTAATAACACAATGTTCGAAGGGTCCAATTTCACAAAATCCACTTTCACTAATTCCGGTAAGTAACACAAAATAATGTCATTAGCAGGTAATAATGTACCTTTGTACTATTTTGCATGTCATTTGACGGTAACAAGAGCAAATTCAATTTAAATCTATTAAATACATTCTAGCGTGTCTTAGTCCTTTACCCACAAAAGCGGCTATAACTTTTTTTTCTATTCAAAACAGTAAGTGTGGCACCTTTCTGAAATCTTTATTAAATGAGCAATTTTTTTATGTAATGTAAAGTTATAGCTCAGTACATTTTTTTTCACCCGAGATAGTCAAAGTTGGGGAAGAAAATATCAAAAACTTCAAAATCGCAATATAGTCCTAATTTTATAATGGCTCCTTAATATATTTTAACTACATTGCATTTGAGTATGGAGAAGCAACTATCTGAAAGTATGTTACATAAAAAATTTACTAAGTATAGCCTATTTTGTAGCTGCAGTTAAAGAAAATACATGAAAAGGCACGATTTTTCTTTAATTCAAAAAAATTTAAATATTTCAAAAACGGTGACACTTTTACCTGAAAATTTTTTGTTTATCAGAGAGCTCACCACCCCACCTGCCTTCTCCTCAAGTTTGGCACGTTACTTCTGGGACACCCTGTATACCAAGCAAGAGATGTTTACGAAAGCTTTATTTTAAAAATCTTTTTTAAGGGGCTGCCTGCCACCTGTTTATAAATTTATAATAAATTTATTATAAAATTTTTAATATGGGTATCGAACGAGCGAAGTTTCAAGTAACTATGTAAATATATTTTGAAAATATTTTCGACCAGAATTGCCACCAGCTTGGATACTAATTGTAAATCAAATCCGACTTATAAATGTAAAAGTTTGTAAGCGAATGTGTGAGTACGTTTGTTGCTATTGCTTTGGATAAAATTTGGCACACAAATTGTTATGATCTGATTTCACATATGAGCAAATTTCACGAGGTGGGTTTTAGGGTCTCTCCCGTCTCTCAACGAGTTAAATGAAACGTTGTAAAATGATGCCAAGTCAAACCAAAAATATTTGAAAAGTATTTGTTTCCAAAATATGTTTTTCTTTTTTTTTTTTAAAGAGGTTGCCACCTGGTTAATACTTTAATTTAAAGCTAATCAGTTTCTCAGCACTTTCACCTATAAGAATAATTTAAAAAATTTATATACATAGTATAAATATTAACAATGAAATGCTAGTGGTTTTCTTATACGGAAATTGCCAATTTAGTTGAAATTCAACGCCCCGATCAAATCTTGGAACATCGATAGCGTAAGCAACTTTTTCTCTATTTTGTTACATTTTAAATCAGAACGTTGAACTGAACTACAGGGCGGGCGGAGCTGCGGGTATAAGCTAGTATGTAATAATATTGATAAGATTTTGGCGCTTACACTTTTGTTAACTGTTTGGCCGAGCTTCTCCTCCAATTTGTGGTGTGCTTCTTGATGGTGTTTCAAAAAATGAAGGGTCCTACAGTTGTACAACGCCTTGGAAATGTAAATGGATTTTATTAGAAGCTTTCTTATGGCAAAAATACACTCGGATATTTGTCTGCCGAGTGTCGATAGCTGTTAGAAAAAACTTTTCTAATTTATATGATGCCCAGAACAGGGATCGAACCCAGGCCCTACGAAGTGATAGTATGCACCTCTAACCACTCAGCTACAGCAGCCCCCGAGGTTGGGGGAGGTAGGAGTTTACGTGCTATATTCACCTCTTTTCGAATACCGGTTTTAGAGTTATTTGAAAAAGCCCGGTTGCCCATTTTCAAATGAAAAAACCGGGTTAAACCGGTTTTATTTTACATAAATTTTCTCTATATTATGACCGAAATTTAAATATGACCGCCAAGACTAAGTAAAACTTTAATCAAGAAACCAAAAAAAAAAAAAAATTAGTTCGAAGTTTTTGATTAAAAGTAAAACAGGAAAAAATTTGTGAAAAATTTTACACCTAATGAGGTTCACTGATCTCATAAAGCTTACATCATTAAAAGAACAGTCCTTTGCCTTGGAAAGCTAGTGCATGTATATTAGGGCGGAATAATTTAATTCGTTTGGTTCTAAGCAAAAATTATGAAAAAAACTATATACCAAAAATTACGTTTGACCCTCCCAGTTTGTAAATCAAAAATCGGTGCGGTTGTTCACACTTTCCTGGTTATCAGGTTATCTAGTTATGTGGTTATATTTTTTATTCAGTTTACAATAATAAAAAACACTACGGAATCAACCAGGCAAGTGTAAACCATTACAGTTTATTACAAGTACCTACTACAAATTTTTCTGAACGAAATAAATTTTTCATTTAAAAAATTTTGTTGCTTTCTTCACACAATATACCGCTTTTTCTATTGAAAATTGAAATTGTCAAACGTCATTTTATGTACATATGTAGTTTGTCCCCCATTTTTGTCTAGAATTAATCGTAGAATTTGAATTTTCTATATCGTTTCTTCGAAAATTTTGCTCCGAAAAAATTACACCGCCCTAATAAATATGTATTTCAAGGACTGTCTTTGGAATGAAAATACACCATCCGTTGAACCAGACCGGCTATACAAATATATCCTATTATAGACAGGCCATTATTCGAGAATCAACAAAATACACTTGGCAATTCTCATCCCTTTAATTCCATCATCGGAGACCAACGCCACTTGCTTCGTGAGGCTTAGAATACTTTGACACAACTCCATTCGGGATATTGTAGCAGATTAAACTGGTCACTCTCATCAGCTCATCTAACATCCCACTACCTTTCGGATATGGCTTTTTCCTGAGTCTCCCATTAGATGAGAATGAAGACAACATGTAATGAATTCACTGTAGGAAAATATACGCTCTTCCAAAAAGTCTTATGTTAGTTTCTTAAAAACCTACGGATTTAACGGTTATTCAAACTTAAAGTTAAATTTATGCCACTACTATAGTTTTTTTTTATTATTTTATTACTATGCCCTCGGCCGCGATCCAAAAACAACTGGCCGGGCCGCAATTTTTGCGCTGAACTCTTCTCGCGATTATTTTTCGACCAAATGAAGGAGTGAATTGAGCTGTATGGAGTTAAAATATAAGTCCACTCTGTCGTGCGATTGCCCAAGATTGTTTTGTTTATAATTTTGCGTGTGTATAACTTGGCGGGTCCACGTTTGCTCGCCCCAATGATCTACCACATCCCGCTCACGTCTCATAATATTTTCTAAAAATAAATTTCCAAAGGCGCAATAAAACCATAGTGGCCTTATTTCCAATCACAAAAGTATGTATGTAAATAAAGTCATTATGGCCTTATTAGGTCACCCCACCGTAATGAGACATCCGAATATTTGGGCTCAAGGAGGCTCATACCGCGCATTCTTTCGCCCGTAACTAATTATAGCACTGCCACCTTCAGACATCGAATCCTCCATCAGAAACTGGGATAATATTTCGCAGGTGGGCAAAACTCGTGTTGGTCTTAATTTCGAAGGCTCTAGCAATGTACATACATAGGTATTTGCTCTCGTGAGACTGTTGACTGGACACTTTGCGTGTCACAAGTAGTAGCTGTCTGTGATGGGCATACTTGACAGCGATATGTGCGGCAGACGAACAACTGAGCTGAAAACTGGTCAATGGGCGGTATGTAGCCTGACTATGACTAAAACAAAAATACCAAAAACAATTATCAACAAAGCTGTATTCATACGCAAATTGCTTGTACACACTTTATTCGATGTTTTTGTTTTTGTTCTTTGTGTTTATTTTGATGTACTTATTTTCATAATTCTATTGCAATTTTTGGCCCGTTTTAAATATAAATATGGAAATTGTAACAAATTGAGTAGTTCTGTAATTCAAATAAGCAAATTTTTTAAACTAATGAGAAATTGTATTGTTTTAATTGTGTTTTCATTTTTTTTTTTTTTGTTTTTTTTTTAGTAGTAAATAGTTGTTTCTTGTTCCAAACGCTGCGCAACACATAGCATTCAGGTGGCGAAATAGAAAACAACGAAAAAAAAATCTGTTTTTTAACCATGCGCCATGAAATTGTTTTCCTAATTTATTTGCATAATAATATATATTAATGCATGCAAATAAATAGTGAATATGACTTGCATTTTAATATATTAAACGCAAGATAGAGAGAGAGAGAGTTAAATACATTTGTATAAATTCGACTTAAGTTGTTTCGTTGTTGTGGTTTTTTTGTTTTTTTTTTTGTTCAGATTTTTCCTGCACCTTTGGCAGCAAACACGACACTGTTCGAGATTTTCACGTAAGTTGTTGTTGATATTAATATGTATTTTATGCACCTTTGTTGGATTATCCATTTTTCATTAAAGTTTATTATAGTAACATTTATTAAGTCCTTTTTGCAACGTTGACTACACGAGTTGGTTGGTGTTGTTTTTTAATATTCTATATATAATGTATATTATAGTTATATACATATATAGCATTTTCTTTGGTGTTTATGTAATTAAAATTAAATAAATGAACAACAAAATTATTTTATAATTTTAGTTTTTTTTTTTTTGGTATAATTTGGTTTTATATACATAATTTAAAAATTACTTTAAGCTTTTCATAATTTGTGTTTGTAAGGTTTTGTTTTGCTACTCTTTATGTAGATATTCGTTGAAAAGTAATCGCACTACCTTTGTAATGCAATTAGTGCATTCATAAAAAGAAAGAAATTAAAATTTAATTAAAAATAAATATACGAGAGAGAGATGAATAAAACATCTATGGAGAATGGTTGCCGCTATAAGTGAATGGTGATTTTATAGCATATCTGGTCTTTCACACATTCTGGCAAGAAATGCTGTTGATTGGAAAAAGAAAGAAAGAAAAAATGAAAAATTTACAATTAATACTTTTTTTTATTTTAATACAAATTTTAATTTAAAATAGGTACCTAAATATATAATCTATGTATTGCACTTTGACAAACCGCCCGGATAATTATTGTGTATCAATAAAAACAAACTGTGCAAACATTGACAAACAAATACAGCAAATATTATTGTGGGGAACAGATATACCGATATACAGATAATCATACATAGACATTCACATACTAAAATTACTTAAATTGAATGGTTTTGTAGCTGCATACTCGAAAGCTTTCTAAAAATTCTGAATAGAAAGTTGGAAATTCTGTTGAAAACTTTCAAATCAAATCAAAGTATGGAAGCTATTGTGAATTATTTCGATTTAAATATAAATTACAAATTTGCAGAGAATTGCAGTAATCTTTAAAGTGAAAAATCGCAATACCAATTTTTAATGAGTTGTATTATTTTGGGCAAAATATTTCAATAATTTTACCTTTTATTTTCCAAGGCAAAAAACGAGAAGGATTTCCGTATATTCTTTAAGCAGAATATAGTCGATAAGCCTTGCTTACTTTTCAGGCATTCATCGCGTTTTACTATTCGAAAAGGACCGCAAATTAAATGCCAAAATGTTTATTTTAAAAAAAATATAATGCTTACTTTAAATTTTTTTCGATAATTTTTAAATGTTTTAAATATTTTTGGTCGAAAAAATAAAAATCCAATTTTAACGTTTAAATTATGATTTTATTGTTACGATCCCTGCTTACGTTGGGTATTTTTTCTGGATACGTCTTGGTACTACTTTTTCTAACATGGGTGTCTAAGAAACGTTGACTATTTCAAAAGAACTGAAAACAGCAACAGTCCGTCCGAGCTGAAAGTTCACGAAATCCTTACTAACTTAACAAATGTATTCACAAAACCCTTTTTCAACCTGTCAAACTGACATTTTACGCACCTATTTACACATTTGCAAACGGGGGGCATTGCCGTTACGGCCTCGTAAACGTACAAATTTTACACTGTTTAAGACTTTGAGAGTTTCACAAGGGATTCCCCCTAATTATTTTTCGGGTGATATTTGTAATTTTTCCGGACCCTCCTCGATTTTCCTGAGCTATGCCTGTCGTTTCCAAATTACCATTGTAAAGCTGTCCCCCACCACCTCCGTTTTTTTTCTTCTAATAAATTACACCAAAACTTGCACCCCTTACTTTGACCTACATACATAATTTACCGCTACAAACCCCATCCTTTATGCTTGCATACTTAATTAAGTACTTACCGTTTAGTCGAAGACAACTGGATCGCTCATCATTCTCTGGATGAACTCTGCACGGCGCACACACATTATTACAAATGGAAATGGTTTTGGTGTTCATACATTTTCATAATTCACGCAGGCATAATTTGTGCAAGTTTGTGCGTAGAAATTTGTGCCAGTTTGGGTGGACGTGTGGCGTTTGTGTGTGGGTGTGTGTGTGGTTGTAAAACAAAGTGGAGGTGCGTCATACACATACGTACGGGGAAGTGAAGTGTTGTTGGAATTAGTGCATTTTTTTTTGTGTTTTGGTTGGTGATACATATATATCGTTCCACAGTGCGTTGGGATTTATTTTTGGATATTTAAACATTCGGTTGCCACATAAAACGTAGGTACATATAAGTCGACATAGAATGAAAATACATATGGAAAACAAAAACAAATGTATTACATATAAAATAATACGAATATACATACATACATATGTACATATGCATGTAAATAAATAGTTAAATAATTTTTGTTTTAGGTGAAAATATGCATAATACTATTGGGCAATTTTTTGGATGAGCAACGAGGGCGCTTGTTATTGTTGTGAATACATAAATAGTTTCATTTCATATGTGCTTGATTAGTTGGTGGTACTTTATTTTTATTTTTTTTTTGCTTTTACTTACGGGAGTATGGAATCATGCCTTCATCATCTTCGGGGTCCATGCAATCGGCGAAGAGAGTCTCAACTTGCTCATCATCCAATGCCTCACCTATGTTGCAAATTTACAAAATTAATTAGTACAAAAATTGGTAAATGATCGTAGTTAGGTAAACGATAAAAAAAAATGGCTAAGAGTATACCAAAAAGCTCACTTAAAAAAGTAGTTGCCTAAAACCCGAATTCAAAAGTTGAATCGCAAAGCCAACACAATTCTTAACAACTGTCTTCGTTAATCTCGCACGCCTCAAGAGCACTCGATATTTCATATTCCCTATTTTTTTGCGCTAAAAGTTTTCTTCGGTAAATAATTAAAAAAAAATTGCCTTCTCCTTACTTAATTACTTTTTAAGCGCTTCTGAAAAAATACTAACCATTCTTTAGTTCCCAAACAGAAGATTATTCTACGACTAAATATATAAAAATTCTTGAGATTTACCCAAAAGCTAATGCTATCTTTTTACTTTTGGCGACCGCCCTGGTCTAAGTTATACCCAATTTATGTTATTTTTCCCCACATTTTTTGAAGAGTTAAAAAATATATTTTACACCGAGCTCTAATCTGTGCTTCTTATTTCGCTTTACTCCAAATTTCCATTGACTTTTCATATTCTTCTGCCAAACTCACCAAGTGACAGCAGGGCGTGTTGCAATTCAGCCAACAGCATTGTGCCATCCTCGGCTTTGTCGTACAATTTCAAACATTCAATGAAATCTTCGTAGCAGCCCTGATCCTTCTCCTTCTTCACTTGTGCGTAGATGGGGATGAATTCTTCGAAGGTGATTTTCTTCTCATTGCGCTTCTTGGTGCCGCCCATTTTTTCGATCAACGCCAAGGTTGGGTTCAAGTTGAGGGCGCGGAGGGCATCACCTAGATCAACGGCATCAATGCCCACACCGGCAGAGCCCATGATTTCGAAAACGAATTCGATATCTGGAATGGGAGATGAAACGGAATTAAATGTGTACGTGCATTGATTTTGGATATATATTTTTTATGTATGTACATAAGTTTAAAATTTTGTAAAACTTCTGTCTGCATGTAGCCAAAGCAATGCGCTAATAGATTAATTTTTTGGTTATTTTAATTTACTTTGCCTTTTTCGTATGTTTCAATTATTGTTTTTTTTTTATTGTTTATTGGTATTGTAATTTACCTTCAGGTTTTATAAAACGTTGGGTTTCAAGAATTTATTTTTTATTTTTTTAACTTACATAGATTTTTTATTCAGTTTTCAATTCACGCTTGCAAGCATTTCATTGCATTTTGCATATAATTTCTCTCTATCTGACCATGCGCCGTCAAACTTCCACTTGTTTTGCTCTCTTTAAACATTTTGCGTGAAATAACATTGCATTCAGATGAGGCAGTATTGATCTTTGAGCGTTATAAAAATAATTGACCTAGAAAAAAACACAAAAATATGCAATGGCTTGTTGCACCACTCAAAGGGAATTTCGCTCTGAAATTTCGATTTCGTGTCAAGTAATAGTATAGTATATGTAGCAGTGATGTCAACCGGGGGGGAATTCCCCGATTATGGTGGAATTTTAATTTCTCGGGGGGAATGGCTTTAGATTTTGGGGTAAGAATTCCTATTTATTTAGCGTGTCTAATGCCTAAGATCCAACTCACTTTTTAGAACAAATTCTTGAGCTTAGTTAAAAGCTCACTCCATCGGTGCAAAAGTTTAGGCTGAGCTTGAGCTCACTTCTTATGCATGAGGGACAATATCTTATTACGGTGTTACAGATTTAAAATATAACGTAATTTCCTCATGCAACCGTGTGGATATTAAAGAAATTGCAACCGTGCATACCGGGGAATTAGCCTAAATAGAATTGTCATCTCTGCCATGTAGTATAAAAATTATATTGGATTTCATGGTTTGGTTTCAGCCGCTTTGAACTTTATTGCTCTTTCAAAAATTCGGGAATCTTGCAAATTTAGTTATACGAGAGACTAGAGGTCAATGTTCCTCATTTCAGTATTACAAAAAAGGCTATTAAAAAAAGACAAAAAAAAACATATTACATTCAGTGCCCTTATATTCCTACTGACCTCAAAATATTTGCTACTTTTCGTTAAGTTACTCGAATAGATGCCCTTGGTTCATAACCGGAGCAAATCAATCATAAAAACATATGTAGTTCCCAGTTCATATCGCTTTGGCACATCTTTCATCGAAAAATGTTCACTTTACCTCTTCATGCCTACAACCGAACTCGGATCTCAATTATTCAAGTACAAGTCGAAGGTATTTATGACACATTCCATATTTGAATTACACCCACATTTTAGGGGCCTTCAACTCGTATGTATCATACTTTTTGGCATGACGACGTCTCAACTCGGTTATTGGGAATTTTACTCTGCGTACACGATTCGTCTGTATAGGAAATTTGACACCCGAATTCATCACTGAATGAGCGGGCGAGCACACGAACGAACAAACGTATCGACGAACCGAAAACACATGAAATATTTTGCGTTTCATTTTATTTTTTATTTTTTTGTTCGTTAACTTAAATACATACATACATATGTACGCAGGCATGTGTGTGTATTTTTTTATATATTCATATATACATACATGTGGGTATGTGAGGTAGGCAACAAAAGAAAAACTATAGGAAAAATTTCCCAAAATTAGAAATGCGTTCGCTCTTTTGCCGATCTCTCTGCCTTGTATGCAAAGATTTTTTCCTTCTCTATACATGGTACATATATATGTATTTATAGCTAGCAGAACATTCACATACATACTTCATATCAGCAACACCAAATATTTGCACACATATTTACTGTACGCTAGATTTTTCGTCCTTCATTTTTATTTTTAGTTCTTTTTTTTTTTTGTTCACACTTTTCTGTTTGCTTAGTGGTGTCCGTTCTGTTGATTGCCCGTTCATGCAGGCACAGTTTTGTTTTTCGATTTTTTTTATATCCACCTATTTTTCTTCTTTAAAAAAATTTGTTTTTGAACGACTTAAATTTTTTTGAACACACTTCTCGGCATTCAGCCATTTGTTAAAAATAGCACGCAAACAATTGTAAACGTGGCCGACGTCAAAGGCAGTGAGTGGCAAGAGCGTACAAATAGTGTTTCATTTCCGTTTCGTTTCGTCATTTCATTGTATGAATTTGCTTTATAAAATACTTTTTATGGGCACCTTAACCAGCAAAAATATGCAGTTGTAGATAAAATATGGAAGCGTGGGCGGTTAGGTGATTTGTGTCGCTATGTGCTGGTGTGTGTGTGTGTGTGTGCTCAAGTTTACCCATAAAAAGATCGAGCTCTGCCAAAGAATTCACTGGTATTCCAAAATTGTAAATTGTAGTGAAATACCGCTATCACTTTGCAATATTATGTAAGCTTCCGGCTTGTAGGCTTCTTTTGGTTAGATGCGAACACTTTTTTTAATATTTAGCACGTCGTAATGTAACATAAAAAAAAACATTTACACAGTTTTCAAATATTTATGATTTTACTTTGGTTCTTTTTTTTTCTTCAAGGAATTTTAAATCCAACTTGCAAATGCTTGTATAATAATTTTCCAACATTTTAGCATTTTTCACTGTTATCGTCTTTTTTTTAGAAATAATTGCTTTACTGCTTTTAAACTTACTTTCAAGATCACGTTTTGGTACATCGGCCTAAAATTAGAAAAGACAGTAAAGAAAGTTACTTTAAATTTTTGCATTTTTTCTTCATACAATATTTAAGTTATTGAGGTTATGTAGAAAATTGTGTATTCCTTTTTACACTCAAATCAGCCCACTCACCATTTTGTCTGTTGGATGAGAATAAATCAACTAACCCGTGGATGAGCTCTGTCTCGACTGAACGTTTCTCGTCTACAGCACGCGTGTTAGGTACTTTCTTGTCGATTGGGCAGTCAAAATATTTTTCGAAATTTTCCCGAACTTGCACAGAAAACCGAACGCATGCACGAAGTTTCTAAATGTTGAGGTGTCAGGGTATTTGTGCGGCGGTGAGCGATTGCAAAAATGCTTGGCGATCGGTTGGTGGTCGGCCTGTGGGACGATGGTACTCTACACACATTCACCACTGACTTACCTGTATAAACATATGTATGTACGTATGCACATATGTATGTATACAAATATGAATGTATGCCGCATTGAATGAAGCCATTTAGAATTTTTCAAAAGTTGCGAAAGTTTATTCTTGTTTAGCTGTTGTTACTTTTCACATTTTCCTATTACATTTTTCTATCACATTCAGCCAACAGCCAACAGCGCCATTGACTGCGCAAATTTTCCAACGCATACAAATACAAATACACTCACTCTGAGGTGGTGCTGGTGCTGTTGTTTTTCGGCTGGTAACTGGCATCGAAGCATACAGGTGACATGCATACTTGGCGAAATGACTGCCATAGCAACAATAAATAATTTATATATTTATGTATAAAAAAATAAAACATTTTCATCACTACCTCTCTCACATTTATGTATGTATGTACATGATGGTTGTCCAAAAAAAGTTTAAAATGGCAAGCTTTCACCACTTAGGATTTTTCTAAATGGTATAAGAAATGCCTGTATTTTTTTTCTTGTAATTATATTTAGAACTGCCTCGAAGCCCATGACGTTTGTACATATATCTTATATGGGGAATAAACGATTTTTCGTAGAAATGGTAGATATAGAATTCTTAAAAATTGATATTTTTCGATCGGAAAACCCTGTTTCTCTTCAGGAGACTTCCAGTAACGATACCCAATGGTTTATTTTACCATTTTCCCCATTGCATTTTTGTCGCTTTTGGGAACCTATAACAAATAAAAAGCTAATAATAAAAAAATGGTTAAATAAACAATTGGGTATTGTTATAGGAAGTCCCCTAAAGAGAAACAAAGTTTAACGATCGAGAATTCTTGATTTTTAAGGCTTCTAAATCTACCATTTTTGCAAAAAAAGCGTTTTATCCCCGTATAAAATATATGCAAAACCTGATGGGGTTTGAGGCAGCTCTAAATGTAATTGTTTTACCAAAAGAATGGTATTTTTTACATTTAAAAAAATTCTAGGTGCTGAGATAAGAAAATTTTGAACTTCCGCAAATATTTTTTTTTTTTGACCACCCTAATGTACATAGTTCGTCACTGCTTTCAATGTTGTTGTTTTTTGAACATCTTCAGTGGTCGTTTCTATTTTTACTTAAGTACGCACAGGAACTACATACAACAGTAATAATGATTAGTCGTTGCGGATCCACAGTGTTGAATATCATCGGACATTTTCATCTTGATATTCGATGTGATGCGACATTCTTTGTATCTTATTATGCTAGTACATATATATGTACATATATTTTTATTTATTTATATATGTATGTAAGTATGAATGTGAATGCCAATTTTTCCTCAGGTCCAAGTCCGACGGCTCGCTGTCAAACAAGTAGTCGTTCAGAGAATTCCACTGTACGCATTAATGTATCTATGCTTACATTAAAGTACATCTAATTTTTTGCTTGCTGACCCTGATCATTTCGGCGATTGAAATACTTTGTACATACATACATATGTATGTAGTACTTAAGGATTGCTATCAAGTAGTTTATAAACATACATATTTACAATTATGTATGTAGGTACGTGCATATGTACATAAATATATCCCGGCATTTACATATGCATGTGCATGCCTACATACGTACATATGTATGTTCAGATGTAAATACAAACCACAAATTCCTAGCTTTTCTTCATCTTGTCGTTTTTCGATTTTCTTTTAATTGAGTATATACATTGCATGTATTTTTATGATTGTACAGGGTGGGCCAAATAAGACCTACCAATGCTCAACACTTATAACTTCTTTATTTTTTAATATTCTTGTTATTTTCTTTTGTGAATGTTATAGTTTATCTCTTGGAAAATCACAATGGATACTTGCAGCAAGACCACCAACAATGACTACAATAAGCCATTCGTTTTATACAATTAGCCATACAAATTGATATTTTATGTGATGTTTTGTTTGTCGGATAAAGCGCCATTCCAAGCAAAACTGTAGATTGTGGGGCTCTGAAAATCCAAGGGCAACACAACAGCACCAGTTACACCCATTCAGATGCACTGTTTGGTGCGGTGTTATGGCCGAAAAAGTTATCGGCCCATATTTCTTCAATGAATGATGAGGAGGAAACGCCAGAAACGACTTCTGCGGTTTCTTAAAGCACAATGATTGACAACTCTTTGCGACCAGCATCCTAATTTGTGGTTCCAACAAGATGGAGCGACTACGCACACTGCTAGGCAAACTATGGACCTGCTGCGTAGAATTGGTAGGACTTACTATTTGGCCCATCCTGTATTTGTATAAGCGAACAAATGAATTGGTTAATGCCACGCAACATACATATTTGGTTGAACTATTTTTACCAGCGATGACACAGAAATTCATTTCGTTAACTTTTAAGTATTTATGTACATATGTGCATTAGAGTGGTCCACTTATATCTGATGAACCAATTTAAACAAACTGAAAATGGAATACAACAGATGAAAGCAAACAAAATTTTCTATAAACCATCTATACGTCACTTTCCGATTGGACTAATAGGTTCCGACAATTCAATAAATCATTCCAGTTTTCTTTTTTGATGAAAAAAATAAAAAAGTAAAATTTTAATAGGAGAAAAATTAAAAACTCACTGGTTCTGGTGAAATTTTTGCCTTAGTGCTAAAGCCTGTTCTGTTACAAACAAATCAAGTTACTAACGAAGCAATACGATGGATAAGTAAAGAAGTAATGAGTGGTAAAATGAAAATGCGCAAAGATTTTTTGTATGAGCAGGAAATAATGTTACTCATACGCCATGTACACCTAACCATGATAAAAACATTACAAGGTAAAACCATTGAGAGGCAGTCTGAAGTTTACCAGCAATATAATTTTAAAATTCGAACTCAAGCTCACACAGACATTCTCATTTTTAGTCTCAAACAACAACAGTTGTGAACACTTTCATTTTTTTGTTTTCAATTTTATATAACATGTTTGCAAACGTCACAAAACATCATGGCCGACGAATTGAGAGAATGGTTTTACCTTCTAATGTTTTTATCATGCCCCTAACTATATTATTATATTTCATATAAAAAATCTTTGCGTATTTTCATTTCACCACTCATTGCTTCTTTATTTATCCATCGGTTTTCTACATAACTTGATTTTTTTGTAACACAACAGGCTTTAGCACAAAGGCAAAAATTTGACACAGAACCTGTTATTTTTTTAATTTTTCTTTTGTTAAAGTGTTTTTTTCATATTTTTATAAAAAAAAAATTCTTAGTGATTAATTCATTTGTCAGAAACTATCAGTCCTATCGAAAAGTAATGTGCATACGGTCTATGTAGAATTTTGTTGGCTTTCATTTGCCGTATTTCATATTATTAAATTGATGAATTGGTTCGTAAGATATACGTGATTAAGTGTAACCACTTTTTGTTTTAAGCTGAATAACGGTAAATTGAAAACATCTTGAAAACTTGTCCATAGAGTTAAATATTAAGTCCATTTTCGGAATCAGCGAGCAATTATTTATAAAAATTGGATAGTGGCATCCATTGACCATTTTTGTTGTAAACCAGTGTAATTGCAAGATAGTTGAAAATATTTTGTTTATTCTTATAAGGTAACTAAAAAGCTCGAAATGTTTACATACAGCTGAAGCTAATATGTACATATAAGCGTGTTAAACAAAAACAAAAAAAATATTAGGAGCAGAAATGAGTTTTTTTTTATTCTACAGCTAATACTTTTCTGAGTAAACTCCAATTGCTTTAACAAATCAAATTTTGTTTAAAAATATACGTAAAAAATACACTTATATTTATATTTCATAAAAACTCCTGTTATAGTATTTCTTTTCATAAGTTTTGTAACGTATTTTACTAACCTTCGGACGTAGAATCCATTTGGTTTTGTTTGATTTCCTATTCTCTAACTACTTTTATACGTAAATAACTTTTCGCTTTTTATTACAAAAATGTTGTGCTTGGGAGAAGGTCACACTACAAATGAATATAAAGAGAGGACTTAGGTTGCAGGCCGTTACAGTGAAAAGTTTTCGCTTCTTAGGTGATCCGTTTAGCAAACTCGAATTTTGGCCGCACTTTTGGAATTCGGCTGCAGTGTGTAGCGTGCCATTCGTGAGATCCGATCGGCCAGCGGTATTTTTTTTTATTTTTGTAAATTTTTCTTCTCTTTTAATTAAGTTTTTATATATTATTATTTAAAAAAAAAACATATGTAAATATGTATATGTTTTTAATTTCTTTTAACTTTTCGAAGCTTATTTTATTTAACTTGTTTCCAATTCAAAAGTCTCTTAGTTTGTCAAATGTTTAAAAAACATATATATTTTTAATAACATTTAAGTTTTTAGGAACTTATTAATTTTTTTAATTTAACTTTCCTTTTATTTTTTTAAATTAATTATTTTTAAAAGAAAATTATATTTTTTTATATATTTCATTTAATTCTTAAAAACTTACTTATTTTTTTTCTATATTATAATTTTATTTTATTTTTTACTTAATTTCCATATGTATATGGAAATTTAAATCTACATATGTGTACTTAAATCTATAGTGTTGGGAGTATCGAGTACTTTCTTTAAATATACATATGTTGGTAACATTTCAATGCTTAGTGTAGAAATCTCACTAGCTGGCAGGTCCCAAATAACGTCGATTGAATGCAGCTTTGGAATACTCAGTATCGATACTTTAAATAATCGGGTACTGTCGATCCTTTTGAGAATCGAGCTCTGAGTACTTTTGGTATCGATACTGCCCAAAACTAGTTCTAAGTATGAAGCAAATCGGACCATATATAAGGGTTTTCCAAA